AGCCACAGTCCCAGCCCTTCCCCTGTGCTTCTGGGAGGGGGTCCCTGATTGGTCAGATCAGGGAGATTTCCAGTGCCTGCAGCACCCCGGTGCGGGCTTCCTGAGATCTCCAGAGGGCTGGGCCACAGCCAGCCTTTGAGGCCACCCAGTGAGCAGTTGTCCCCTGGTGCTGCAGGTGGCCAGGCTTCATCCAGGCAGAGACTAGAGAAAGACCATGTGCAGACCCTCCTGGCCTCTCACACCCCCACCCACCCTGCAACTGCCCTCAGCTTCCCACCCAAGAACCTAACAACCCACCCAAGAAGGAAATGTCTTTGAAGTTGCTTATCTTCCAAAGTCTGTCTGCTTTGTTCCTGGGCTTGGGGGGAAACGGTTAGCCCATCCTTTAAGAAATCTAGTCTAGATGAGTCTCTGCTGCAAGGAGCCCAGTGACCCTTAGTGCTCATTAACCCCCCAGCACCTACTTAGGCCCGGCAGGCTGGGCTGAATGGATTCTTCAGCTCTTATAGCCCCAGTATTCTGCGGTTTTACCAGCTCTAATTCCATGTTGATGTTAGAGACTAAAACTCGCTACCCACAGCGGGTGAACTGCAACTTGCCCAGCCCTTCCCTGCCCCAGGGCCTTTGCACATACTGTTGCCACCGCCTGAACTATTCTTCCCTGATGCTTCCCCCTCCATGATGTCCACCCTGATGTGTCCTCTTCCAGCTGCTCTTTTCTTTCAGAGCACAAATCACAGTATATAATTATGTGTTTAATTTATTGTATTAGTGTCAATTGAGGGCAGAGACCTTGCTGGCCCATAGTAGATGTTCAATAAGTATCTGTGCACCAACTGATATTAATAAATATCTGTGGACCAACTGGATGGATGAGCCAGCTGTGGATTTATTTTTGCAGCCTGAGCAGTGTGTGGGCATTTGCTGTCTCGTGTCGCCCTCTGGTGGTCATTATGCAGACAAATGCTGAGGAGCCCGCCTTCTCTCCGCCTTCCCACAGCTTCCATCCCTCATCCAGCGCCCACCTTGGATGTGGCCACACATTGAGTGTGAGTCCATGAAACGGCAGCTCTTGGTTGTCATGGAGTTCTCTGCCTCTGGATGATCAGGTGAGTTGGCAGGCAGCCCCCCACTACACAGCTTCTCACATTATTATTATTTTTTTTTTTCGTCTTTTTCGTGACCGGTAAGGGGATCGCAACCCTTGGTGTGGTGTCGCCCGCACCGCGCTCAGCCAGTGAACGCACTGGCCATTCCTATATAGGATCCGAACCCGCGGCAGGAGCGTCACTGCGCTCCCAGCGCCGCACTCTCCCGAGTGCGCCACGGGGCCAGCCCTCACATTATTATTATTATTGATATTAAATAAGAGTGTGCTTCAAAAAGTTCGTGGACAAACTTGTATTATCTTTTAGTTCTATTTTTCTACATATTTTTTGAAATACCTTTATAGCTAATGTTAATAATGTTAAATGTAATACAAACATTGTTTGCTACGTATGGGTCCCTGACCCATCTATGAAATGCTGATAATAGGGTCAGGGAAACTGTGCATGTTAAATCTTAGCGTGGGACAGAGACAAAGTAAGTTTTCCATAAGCAATGGCTGTCATGAGTATTGGGGGAAATGTTCACCTGAGTGTAGGCTAATGTACCATGAGGAAATGCAGCCCTGTCACCAGCCCAGCTGGGCATGTCAGGAAACCTTTGCAGCCTCTATTTTCCACCTGTGAAATGGCCACACCGGCTATGCCGCCTCCCAGGGAAGTGGGGAGCACTGGGGAAGACTCGGAACTTGACAAGCAATTATTGGATATGCAGCTGGGGCTGGAAAGAGGTCTCCATAAGAGGAGGTCAGATGCCTAGGGACCACTCCCTGATCCCGAGAGAGAAGGGCTGTTTATTCCTAGGAGATGCTGGGTTCAAGGACCCCAGGCACAGTGCAGAGCAGAGGGCAGGCGCTAGCCTGAAGCAGGGAGAAGGGGTTAACAAGGCCTCCAGGCCCTTCTCCACCAGCCCCAGGAGGGCCAGTAGGCATCTTCCACCCCAGGCAGGAGGGGACCTTCTGGGAGAATCTTCTGGGTCTTCCTCGTGGAAAAGCTGGTTCCCCCTCCCTGGTCCTGCCAACCAGCTTGCTGGTGTCTCACTCTAGGTTATTAGGCAAAACCTCCAATAGGAACGAAAGCCAGAGAATATGAAAATAGAGGAGAAAATGAGGTGGGGTAGGAGCTGGGAGAGAACAAGCAGTCCAAGCACCAAAGGAAAACTCAAAACGAAGCAAAACTCCAATATCCTGAGAGGAGACAATACTGCACCCATAGAAGAAAACCAGGAGGCTGTTTCTTGAAAATGACAAAGGAACAATAAAAAGCTCTATTAAAACCATCACGACCTGAAATATACAGTAGCGGGCTGGCTGGTTACTCAGTGGTTAAAGTGTGATGCTGATGACACCAAGTACAGGGTTTGATCTCTGTACTGGAAAGCCACCAAAACACAGACAAAAATATCCAATAAGGCCGGCCCGGTGGTACACTGCTACAGTGCGCCGCTTGGGAGTGTGGCGGCGCTCCCGCCGAGGGTTCGGATCCCACATACAGACTGGTTCCCGCTCACTGGCTGAGCGAGGTGCGGGCGCAGCACCGAGGGTTGCGATCCCATTGCCGGTCCCGGTCCGGTACGGGCGCGACACTGAGGGTTGCGATCCGTTGCCGGACACGAAAAAAGACAAAAAAAGAAAAATATATATATCCAATAAAAGAATCAGAAGACAAAGTCACTTTCCAGAAAACAAAGAGTGCAAAACAGGAAAGGAAATTAGAAGATCAGTGTAGGTGGCCCAAGATCCAATTTATAAGAGTTAAAAAGAAAACAGAGAGGACGAGATTGCCAGAGAAATAGCAGGATGTTTCCAGAACCAAAAAACTGTGTTTCAGATGGCAGGGGTCGGTCAAGCACCAGCACAACGAATGGGAGGGTGGGAGACTACTGTTAAATTTGAGAATCTGAGTACTAAAGAGAGGATATTAAAGGCTTCCTGGGATTTAAAAAAAAAAAAAAGTCACACAAAATAGGAACCAGAAGGGCATGCACCCACTCAATGGCTGTACTGGGAGGCAGGAGACGATGGGGTTTATCCTCAACGTTCTGAATGAAACAAAGTAGCCTAGAATCCACGGTCTAGTTAAGCCAGCAACCAACGGTGGGGGCTGAATAAGGCATTTCCCGACAGGCTACGGTCCTGAAAAACCTGAATAACACGTCCTTCTCCAGCAACTACCAGGAGGTGCATCGCACCACTCGCACCAGAGTCCAGAAGGTGTGGGAGCCGGGACATGAGGAAGCAGTTGCACAGTGCCCCTGGACACAGGGCTACCAGGGGTGGAAGAGCCCAGTGATGGCTTTAAATGGCAACAGGAGGCAATTTCACCTCTAGGAAAAGCAAAAAAAAAAAAAAAGAGCATTAAAAAAAGCCATAGAACCTTACTTGCTTATGCAGCAAAATATCGTCATAACAATCTAAATTGTGCAATGAACAAAATTTTTTTTTTTTTTTTTTTGGTCTTTTTGTCTTTTTTCGTGTCCGGCAATGGATCGCAACCCTCAGTGTCGCGCCCGTACCGGACCAGGACCGGCAACGGGATCGCAACCCTCGGTGTTGCGCCCGCACCTCGCTCAGCCAGTGAGCGGGAACCGGTCTGTATGTGGGATCTGAACCCTCGGCGGGAGCGCTGCCACGCTCCCAAGCAGCGCACTGTAGCAGTGTGCCACCGGGCCAGCCCTGCAATGAACAAAATGTGACAAATACAGATTGGGTGAGTGGGGAGTTGAAGGGAGAGCAGGCAGTGTGTCCCAGGGCCAAGAGGAACTCCGGGATGCCATGGGCTCTGGAACCTTCTTCCGTAACTTCCTGTCCCCTTCAGGAAGCAGTCTGTCCACTTGGCCTGCCGCCCAGCCATCCATTCTCTTACAGATCAGACACTGGCTCAGCTTTCAGATCACTGGACTAGCCGCAGGTCCATATTATCACTTCAGTTTGCCTTTGTGTCTTCAGATTGTGACTTTGCTTAAATTACCAGCTGGATAAAGAGCAATTAGTCTTAAATTGGGTCCTCAGTAGATGTTGTGGGGAGCTTACCCTTTTACTAGGAGATCCCAAATGCTACTTTGGAATCATCATGGATTTTATGGGCATCCAGCTTTTGATGTGCTTTTCCCTGGCTATCCCTTGAGTTATCTTTTCTGCTTATGTAGCCAAACTGAGTTCACACACAATAGAAGACAGGATTTAGCCACCTTCCTATTTGGGTATTATTTTCATTTTCATTTCCTTCCTATTTGGGTATTATTTTTCATTTTTCATCAGACTTCTATATAATGAGCCTACATAGTATCCTAATTGAAGGAATCAAATACTGCAGCAAAATCCTGCAGAGCCACAAACACAAGCCCGAGTGCTGCCGCCTGCCTGGTGTCCTGCAACTGTCCTTGGCATGTATCTCCGTGTTCCAGGATCCTGTTTCTGAATGTTTGGAATGGCAGCAAGGGCCTCATGGGAGAGTGCGTGTGTGTCGCATGCCCCCCGCCCCTCTTGCCTACACAGAGGTAAGAAGGCTATTTAGGACCTGCACAGCACAAATATTAGACAAATTTATTGAATGAATTAAGTTGTAGGTACCTGAGATTTTGACTGTAGAGAGATTTTTTAAAAATTGTTTTTATTTCAACATGCACTAAAAAAATGATTACAGGACCGCTTAGGATAACACTAAGTAAAACGATGTGAGGCAACAGAGTAAGGTATTCCACAAACAACAGTATGTGGGCAGGGCAAAGTCTGAGTAGCACTTGAATGCCCAAGTCATTTGTCACAGGTGCAAAAGCACGCAGGTTTTGGATACTGTAGAGAAGTGACTGTAACAGCCCCGGCCGGGTCAAGAAACCAAGACAAGGCCAGTCCCTGCAAACACACTGGCATCCATTAAGAACAGTGCACTTAGTAAACTGTTTGAGAACCATCAATTGGTGACTTTATTTCATATAAAAGTTACACTGAAAGAAGAGGTTGAAAAGTCAAGTACACTTGATTTGCACGTACTTGCCGGGTCTCACAGGATTCAACCACTTGGGTAATTACTTTATTGATAAACAAGATATACATGTTAAAGCCTCACATTGAAGCCCAGTACACACGTCCTCCCCAGACAACAGACGTGCAAATGAACGCGCAGAACAGTCTCTGGGTCACCCTCGAGACACGTCATCCTCTGGCTGTGACAGTTCATCCCTAGTAGCTCACGTCTTCAGTGACTCAGTCCATTTGAAAAGCACCTACAGGTCTGTTCACTCGGCCACAATTGAGTGTCAGGTAGGTCCATCTGTGGTTCTGCGCGGACAAAGGTAGAAGCCCTGATCAGAATAGGGTACAGAGTAACTAAAGACGAAACCAAACAGCTCACAGATGAACACACAGGCCAACAGTTCCCAGGAGGGAGACACCAACTTTTCTCAGCACGGGAGGCAGGCTAAAAGGAAGACCCTCAGACCATGTTTGTGTCAGATTGCTTCTTGATGCGTCCAGCAAAAAAATGTACAAACCAGGCAAGTTTAAGGCAAGTCCCCAAGGAGGGGAGCTGTTTGCTTTCTGGCAAAATTGTAAGCTCCACACCAAGGATCCGATTTTATCACCTGTGCCGTGGGTAGAGAAATAAACATAAATGACAGAAAAACACGAGCTGTTGCCATCCCGACCATTCTCAGCATCAGTGCTGCCTGCGTGGAGGCACGCAGTGGCCCTGCCAGGGGCTGGCTGCCTTGCGGCCCCTCACCTTCCCAGAGGCACCAGAAGGCCAACCCTGGCTTCTCGTGTCTCACGGATGACATGCCTCCCCTACCTCCCAGCCATCGGCAGCACCACGCGGCATGAGGCATGAGGCCACCATGAGACTTTGCTCTTCTCTTTCTGAGGTGCCATTTACGCACTGCTGATTTGGCTGGAGCAACAAAAAAATATGCTCCAAGGCCCTCGTGCACTCCAGATTTTTAAAATAAAATTTAAAAAGGAGGGCAACAAAGGACCACACAGGAATGATTGTTCTTTGGATCAAGATATTCTCCAGTATGCAATACATTCATAGTAACCCCACCAGGGGGACCCCACTGGGGAGGACCCCGCAGCAGCTCTCCCCTCTTCCCTGAAACATCGGTTTCTAAAAAATAGCTTGTTTGCTGTACACAGCTGTTAAATGTTACATTGTATGAACAACACTGCCAATTTTGACACACACATGCATGCACGCACACACACACACACAGACACGCACACATACAGACTTGCTGCAAGGGTCAAAGGGTGCCTCTTCCAGGCAGTGGGGAGTACCGGAAGCCGCCTTCACTGTTTAGCACACAGATCTCTTGCAACTTCAGTGCAAGTGTCAGAGCTAATCAAGTCCAAAATGTCTTTCTATGTAAACGCCCCTTCTGTGATCAAGGGAGTGCACTAATGAATCACAGGGTCAACAGGAACTCCCTGAAATGACTGGTCCGAGAATTCTTGTTCACTGGATTGACATTTTTTTTCTTCGTATTGAAAAAGCAGCTCAGTACACAGGGTTCTGATAACCCATGTAATATCCCAAACATCTTCTTAGAAAATGCAAAGTATTGTTAACAAGAATCCTAACTGTGCAGGAAGGTAATGACATTTGGCTTCTGCGCGTGGCCACACACCTTTCCACTGGTCGTACAGGTGAAAACTGAAGAGAGCGTCATCACCCAGTTTGGAAAATCTGCAATCTGTGACTAGAAATATATAAAATTCTGCTTGCTGCAAGCAACTGGTTGGTGTAGGTTCCATTTTGCCCTATTGGTCACAGATGAGCTGCTGATGCCCTTTCAGACTCCAAATAAGTAACTGTCAGTTTACATTTACAAGTTCCAGCATGACAGGAGGTCCTCACACAGAGAACTCCGGGCCTCCTCTTCTGGGTCTCATTTGCAGTCGCCTAAATCGGAAGCCAACAAAGGGATTCATCCAGAGGAGGGAGGGGGGACCCCCAAAGACAGACTTCATCCCTTCCCATCGCAGTCGCCGCTCCCACGTGGGTTTCTCACTTTTCAGTCTCTCGATCTCCTGGGAGCAGAAAGAAAACCAAGTGAGTGGCTGCTCCAGGAAATCCCCAACAGACACAGGGCTGAGTGGTTACAACAGGAACAACACTAGGGCTGGCTGCTTAGCTCACTTGGTTAGAGCATGGTGCTGGTAATACTAAGGTCAAGCGTTCAGATCCCCTTATCAGCCAGCTGCCAAAAACAAAACAAAAAACGGGGCAACAACACCAAACTTCAGATTCCCATTTCATTTTAGAACCAGTGTTTAGTTAAAGTGTGGGTGCAAGGTGGTCAGGAGAGTGGCTCTCCTTCCTGATCCAGACCCCCACAGCCTCTGTGAGCACAGCCAGGCTGCAGCCATCTACCGAGACCTGTACCAGAGACAGCTGGGCTGTGGCCTCAATCTAGGCAGCTAGCCCAGACAGCCACAACGGGCCTCCAAGCCAGGGAACCGACAGTTTTATTCACTTACTACTCTGTACAAATATTTACCGAGCACCTACTCTAGACTTGCAGTGCAAGGGCATGAAGGCGATCAATTCCCTAACACTCACTGAGCTGCTCCAGGTGGCTGGGAACGTGCTGGGTTCTATCTGCCTGGCTCTGTTGACTCTCCAATCAGACTGATATGTGAAATATGCACTGTGCATAGTGAAAGGAATAACAAATACGGGGAACTTTTCAAGCTTATCAAAACTGCCCAATTAATCTCCCAAGTTAATACATATGCACCTGTTGTTGACATTAGGGTTTTTCATTTACTCAAGCTTTGGCTAAAAACTAGGCAAGCACAGAACAAAGCAAAGCATACCGTTTCATCATTGCATATGGAGTGGATCTGGGTGCCAAACATAACTGCAGTGAAAGTGAAAAACAGAAGACCCTCAAGGCACAGGAAGATCAACAGGATTACAGTTATTGGAGGTGAAAAATCACTGCATTCTGTGAAAAGAGAAAGTTGGCTATGGCCAGACATAGGAGCATAATGAACACCCCAAACTGTAGGGCATTTAGCTTGGAGCAGAGCCCGCAGTGCCAGTGCTCAGCCAGCTGCCACAGAGGAATGTGCTTGCTTTGGAAATAGGCACATTCACTGTTCTCTGAGGAGCAGAGGAAGGTGGCCCTTCCAAGCAAAAATTCACACACCACCATTTATTTCCTGGTCAGTAGTTTCAAAAGATTCCATATTACCTGAGGTTTCCACTGACTCTGTTTCTGTACTGAACTGCTTATTAAAATGCAACTAAGGCCAGACAAGAAGAGTCATGTGTACTTACACTTGTGAAGAGTCCCTATGAGGCCACCCTCCACACCCCCCAAGGGGCAAGACAAACCTGACCATGCCTAACTGCATATCTGCGGCTGGGCAAGTCACACCCATGTTCACTCTACTTGCTGGGTTCATTTATAGTGCGCTATACAAAGGATTGTTTTGAGCAAGGGTTAGCTAGCTACCAGAAAAAAAATAAAAGATTTGGTGGGAACAGCACTAATTTCCCTCTAGCTCAAAAATCTGCAAAATACAATTATTTAGTAGATGTTATTAATTGACTAGGGAAGAACAATTATATGGCTTCACTCTACCAGCAAAATGGCAATGTTAAAACTTAACGATACTCTTTTCTAAAAAAATTCAATTAATTCCTAATATAACTGCAAAGATTTCCTTCAAAATTGGAAAATCAAATCTTCCTTTAAAGCTTTCCCTTTTTCGTCCAATAGCATGCACTTCTAGGAATGATCCACAAAATCTGAGCTTACCTGTCCACTGCCCACGGACACAGGAAATGAACTGCAATCCACAGAGAATCAGAGCATGGACTGAAGACAGAGCTATATACATCTAGAATGAGGAGAAATTAGTAACTTAAATCCTTCTAGGAGCAAATGCTCATGAACATTATTATCTACACAACCATTTCATTTATTAGGAAAAAAATAACAAGGGAAGGAGTAAATTGCAGCAGTCGACATCTGCCTACCCACGATTGTATCAGACCAGGTAAAATAATTTATAGAAAAATATACAGAAGGGAAGTAAGTTCTAACATACATTAGGAAGGTACTATTAACGATGGTGATTTAAGGCATCTGAGAGAGAATTAAACCTCAGTGAACACCTAAAATAACACAAGCAACATATATTTACCTACTGGGACTGCTTCCTACCAATGACAGCACAGTATAAGAATTTGAATCCTAGAGAAAAAGCTGGAGAGAAACTGGTCTGATGTTAGAATAAATTTCCCTGCTCCAGGCAAGATTCTAATTAAAGAATTTCAAATTCAGTGTAAGTCACTACAAAAATATTTTTACTTACAGTGAAGAGCACAAAAAATCTCTGATTCTTTTCTCCTACACAATTGTTCACCCACGGGCAGTGATGATCCATTTTCCGAATACATCTTTTGCAAATACTGAAAAGGAGAGTTTGGTTCTCAATATTCCATGCTCTGAGGAAACCAGAGTACCATATCCAAATAAAACTAAAGGTGGAAAAACACTAGAACCCATGTTCTAATATAATATAGCATGTCAAAAAACATCTATAATATATACTCACTATATTCCTTTAAAGTTGATCATTTTAATTAAGTTAAATGTCTTCTGTTTCCTAAGGAAAATATTCAGTGAACTAACAGGTTCAAAGCCAAAAAATTACACTGAGCCATATTTCACAAGTTTTCAGATCTTCCCAGTAAAACTGGGTCACACACACCTATCAATAATGATCCCAGTTTTGCAAGCTTATAAGTCTATTTCAATAAAAAACAAAAATTGAACTTTTACCTTTGGGAAAAGAAAAATCCTTGGTACCTTCAAATGATTCCTACCACTCAATCCATATTCATCACAAAACATAGAACTATGCACCTGTGCATAAAGTTGTCTTGTGTATTTTACTTTTATCCAAAATATTCCATATGTCCAATTTCTTTTTTTTTAATTTATTTTTGGTTGGCTGGCCAATATGGGGATCTGAACCCCCGACCTTGGTGTTATTAATACTGCACTGTAACCAACTGAACTAACTGGCCAGCCCCCATATGTCCAATTTTTATTAATTAATTAATTAATTAATTAATTATACCAGTTCCCGCTCACTGGCTGAGCGAGGCGCGGGAGCAGCACCGAGGGTTGCAATCCCGTTACCGGTCCCTGGTCCGGTGCGGGGCAGCACTGAGGGTTGCGATCCGTTGCCGGACACGGAAAAAGACAAAAAGACAAAAAAAAAAAAAAAAGAAAAGGCTGAGCTCTAACTGACTAATGGGCCAGCCCTACATATGTCCAATTTTAAATAACTAATCTGCTATCTATTATTTTTTAAAAATACCTTGCACCATATTTAACTACATCAAGCTAAAAATCTATGGCAGATTTCTTAACTGCAGGTGGACTTTCTGTAATGGTGTCACCTGTTCACTGACTCAGTTTCTCTGCCTGACTTCTACTGCACCTGTTAATACAATAATTTCCAATATGTTCCCATTTCATCGTTTTAAACAGATTTAAAAAGTATAATATACATACCATAAAAGTTCACCCATTTTAAATGTACAACTTGATGATTTTTACTATATTAGCAGAATTGTGAGACCATTGCCATCTAATTTTAGAAAATTTCTATCACACCAAAAGAAACATCGTGTCCATATGCAGTCATTCCCCATCCCCACTCCCAGCCCAAGGCAACCACAAATCTACTCTCTGTCTCTATGCCATTTCATTTTTTTAACTTTCTGGCCAAATTTCATGGATATGAATCTTTTAAAATTCACTATTGCCATAAAATAGACAAAACCCCCTTCCTATTTATCTGTCTTCTGTTGGAGTCCAGGGAAGGACCTCCAGCTCACCCTCTTTCATCTTGGCAAATCATGGCACACAAGGAGAAAGGCACTGTTTAGGTATGGCCACACTCCATCAGTTTGAAAGCACAAGGATGCATGACCCCTATTTTTTTTTTTTTTTTTTTTTTTTTGTCTTTTTCCGTGTCCGGCAACGGATCGCAACCCTCAGTGTCGCCCCCGTACCAGACCGGGACCGGCAACGGGATCGCAGCCCTTGGTGTTGCTCCCGCGCCTCGCTCAGCCAGTGAGCGGGAACCGGTCTGTATGTGGGATCCGAACCCTCGGTGGGAGCGCTGCTGCGCTCCCAAGCGGCGCACTGTAGCAGTGCGCCACCGGGCCGGCCCAACATGACCACTATTTCAAGGAGTGAAGTAGGCCCGGCCCCCCAGCAGCAAAAGACTCTCCGAAGGTCAGGAGTTGGCAGAGCCAGGGGAAGCAAACGAAATGCAACAAAGCCAAGAGAGCTAGACGTTCGGGTGCACGTGCACAACTGGACTAGGCTTATGTTCCTGCTTCTCAACATGAGAGTGGTGTTTGAGTGCATGTCCAGAAGAACTGCATCTACATTGCAACACCACACCAGGTGAGGACATGTGAACACTCAATAACCCTCAGTTTATCTGGCTGGAAGAACCAGGAGAGGGGTGAGGGGAAGATTCTAAGCCTCCCCCCTGGATTCCATACAAGATGTGGCCAGCAGCCACATGTGCCAACCTGTGGCGCCATGCCACTGAAACAGAAGTAGACGCCTGTCACTTCTTCCTTTGGCTATTGTCCTACAGTGAGTCTCTCCTGGTAAGTCTCTGCAGCACTGAGCTGACACTGGCCCTTGGACTCAGCCCTCTATCATGGAGACAGAATGACACCTACAGGTCCCGCTGTGGTGGGGGCCACAGTACCTGCAGTGGTGGGCGCGCTCTGGCTTAATACAGCAGCACTTGGGGCACTTGTAGATCACTTCACCGGGCTTCAGCTGCAAACTCTCCATGTATTCTTTCGTAGCGTTTCCTTTGGGTACTGCCCCCTACAGTAAGAAAAGAATGTATTTTAGTTGCGGAGAAGGAAAGGTCAAAAAAAGTCAATAAATGTAGGAATTCACCTTAGGTTTTCTATTCCATCAAATACTTTATAATGCTGTGGTTGCCACTTAAAGCATATTAAATATGGAAAATGCATTACTCGTACAGGACCAGAAGTTGTATTTTCCACAAAAATAAATAAATAAAACAGGCCTTATTATCCTTTTCATAAATGGAGAAATGGTGTTTCCTAGCTCACTGTGGGACACACTGGAGGCACAGCATGTGCCAGCACGAGGGCAGGTGGCTGCCTCCAGACGTTCTGTGCCTGGGACCTTCCTGTCAACACTGCCTCCCTCTCACCCCATGTAAAGGAGAAGGGTTTACCTGGCAAGTGCTGCCAGAGAGTGTCCTATCAGCTGCAGCAGGGGAACGTGAACAAATCAGTCTCAAAAAGGACTTTATCTCATGTTGTTCAAGTTATGTAATGCATTTGTCTCTTTGCCAACCTCATCAGGAGCATTCACACATAATTTACATACAAAGGGGTAGAGGGAGGCCCAGACCACCTGACCCGCTTCATGAGGCAGCCCGGGCACAGCAGCATCAGGAGCTGTGGCAGTGCATGTGCCCTTGTCCCAAGTGCCAGAGGAGCTGGACAAAGACAAGAAAGGGAAAGCCATGGTAAGATAAGTTAGGGGAGCCAGGGACTGACGGCAAGAGCCAGCGGACAGAGCCTGCAGTCGGCTGAAGACTGGATGCAGGGAAAGGCAGGCATGCACAGGGCAGTGGAGACATGTAATGACAAACATGTTTGTGGGAGATTGTTCCTGAAGCTGTGGCAGGGTGGAAAAAGATTAGCAGACCTGCTGGGGGTCCTAAATGCCTCAAAGAAGGGAACAAAGTCTTATATCCTGTCTGAGCCCAAAGCCTGAACTTCACACAGAAATGCACACTTCTGGAGAATGAGACCCACCAACACATCAGGAAGAGTCCAGAGAGCAGTGACAGGCAAATGGAAGGGTGGGAACTTAGAGCCTGGGAGACAACGGAGGGGAGGTCAGGGACAGTAAGTGAGTATGACAACAGCAAAAGCACAGCTGGAGCTCCTTAAAGCCAGATGCCCAGCTGGACACAGAGCTACAGAGCTGAACTTCTGCAGTGTGAGGGCCAACATCCAAATTTTAGAAAGCTCAGCAGCTGAGTGTGCTGAGGAGCTGGAGACTGAGGCCCACTGGATTCAAGGCCCCCACTAGGCCAGAGCTGGAGCCTCGGGCAGCAGCGGGCAATGAGGCCCCAAAGATGCATGGGGCAGGGAGGGGCTGCAGGGCAAAGGCGAACCTTCAATGCAGCTGACTTCCTCCAAACAAGGACCCACCAGTCCTAGCACTCTAACATGGGAAAGCTGTTTTGGTCAATATCCTAGAGTTTGTTAACGCTCAAACTGTCTCCTTAAAGAAGTTCAGAAAGTTAAGGGTTCAAACTTTCTTGACTTGGAAACTTTAAATCAGAATAAGTAAAATATTTTACTTAACTTACACACCACTATTTGGAGTCCTTAATCATCAATGTTCTTTCACCAGTCCAGGAGGAGCCTTATTGCTTCTATGATTTTACAAAATCCCATAATACTGCATATACACCCCAAATAACAGTTCAGTGTTAAAAATTTCCTCAATAAGAGGAAATGGACCAGATTTAAAAACTCCAAACATCCTTAACATTTATGATACACGCAAGTATTTTTCCATGGTAAAAGCAGATGTGATACAATATGGCATAATACACTCCAGAAAGCAGACACCCCAGCAATTCCCATTTTTTCTGGATCACTTATGATGTGTTAACTGAGGAAAGATTTTTCTCGAAGGGGTAAGCCAAGTACTCCATTAGGTGATCCCCAGGACATTAGATCCTGCAAGGGGTTTTGGACATGTTCTGGTTCGAGGTGGTCCTTTTTGCTGCTCAGAATCTGGGCTGACAAGAGAGCTCCCCAAGGGCACAGTCTCCTCAGGGCTCCGAGGCCATTCACCAGAGGCCCCCACAGTCCATCATCTACATTTTCCTTCTGAGCCTTTCAAGGTGTGGTTTCGCAGAAGCAGAGACAGCACGTGGAAGGGCTGGCCCTGTGGCCACTGGCTGTCACTTTCACAGAAGGCACTGCCAGGAGATGCCCATGATGACGGCTGCAGGGAGAGCGCCCTGTCACCTCTGCACCAACAGGGGACCACACTTCATTCCACCAAAACAAACCTTCCAAATAACTGAGCACGTTCCGTAAGCCCCAGCTGGAACCATTTTCAGCGGGAGGTCTTTCTAAAGTGCTCCTTGACTCTTTCCCACCCCACCTTCCCCCGGGACTGAGGGCAGGCATCAGACCACACAATGCCTTTGGGGCTGCTTCCCTTTGGAACTGCCTTTTGATTTACTGCTGCCTCTTCTAGCAAACCCTTCTTCACAACTGCCCACGACCCACCTCCAGTCTGCCCTGGTGAGGGAAACCAGACACCCAGGCTTAGGAAGCACTCTCAACCATGCCATGCTTCCAGGGAAGATATGCCTCACAGAGCACGCTTCCTCTACTTTCTTTTTCACCCTCTCTTTCCATCTCGACTGGAGTAGTGAGTTCTGGATCACAGGGCCTAACCAAGGGGAGCTAAGAATAGGGCTGTGCCTCTTGATCCAGTTTACCAGGGACAAGAAGCATGTTAAAACCGGTTCGGGCATATAAAATGCAACCTCCAGTAACAAGACAAAGGACTGTGTTTCTTTGACCAAAAAATCCCAAGGAAAAAAGGAGATTGCAAGGACCACTGAGATTAAAAATATGCTGAGAGATACATAAACCAATCAAGTTTACCAGGGACAAGAAGCATGTTAAAACCGGTTCGGGCATATAAAATGCAACCTCCAGTTACAAGACAAAGGACTGTGTTTCTTTGACCAAAAAATCCCAAGGAAAAAAGGAGATTGCAGGGACCACTGAGATTAAAAATATGCTGAGAGATACATAAACCAATCAGATATTCGGATCCTAATTCAAACAAAAAAGAATGTAAAAGAACTGAGACAGCTGAAGAAATGTGATCTCCAACTGGACAGAAGGTATTCAGGAATTATTAAGTTGCTTAACATGAGCTATTGGTATTACGGTCATGTTTATTAAAAAGAGTCCTTACTTTTAAAAAATACACACAAATATCTACAAATGAAACTGAGACCATTATAGTCTTTTCTTTCTACTTGTGCATATTTTTGAAATTTTCCGAAAGAAGTTAATAACCGCAGAGGCTTTGTAGACAGACAAATCTGGTTCAACTCCCAGCAGCTCTGTCTCTTCCTCACCATGAGGCCTTGTTCTGATGTGCATACACCACAGAGGATTAAGGGAGAGCGCCTTTGGCAGAGCACCTGGAACAGGATCAGCAGCTCCACAAAAGGTACTCTTTACAAGGCACATGGTCAAACGTCTGCTGAGAAGGCTGCCGTGCTTAAAATGGGGTGGGAGAAGGCTACGGGTTCGGGTGAAGGTCTGTGAGCTCCTGGGTAGTGGGTGCTCTTTCACAGTGTTCTCCGTGCATTTCCAAATGCTAAGATGGGTCAAAGTCTCATCTGTCAGCAGTGGGGCTAACTGCTTTATTACTGGATCAGACACGTCTTCCTCTCTGCTCACCCCTCACTCAAAGGACCAACGACTCTCCTCAAGTAACAACGCAATCCCCAGCCAATCCCAGCAAAGACTGCTGAGGTCTGCTGGTTTAGGAAAATGACATGAATTGCCACTGGGGTCTGCCCTGACCCCTCAAATGCCCTTGCCCAGGGGTGGCATGATGGTTCTAGTTCAGCCCAGACTGCACCCTGGCATGGTCAAGAAGACAGAGAGTGGGCCTCTGACCCTCCTGCATCACATTGTCTCTCCTTTAGGAATGTGGATTTGGAACTCAACACTTCCAACTCAATCTGGTCTTTGGGGCTACCCTTCTTCCACAGACAGCAGGGCGAGTCAGGATTCTGAGGGACAGGAAAAGCCAAGGGCATCTGTCAGTCTTTCCACTGTCTACCTTCTGGACAGCTTTCACAGCCTGCCAGTACCTCATGCCTTCTTGCCCGTGAGGTCCTCAGACTCCCTGTGTACTCGGTTTTATTTACTCTGACTCCCAGTGGTTTCTGTAACTGGCCACCAGAGTCACGTGGCAGTTAAAAGTGACATCCAAATGAACAAAGGACTCAAATAGACATTTCTCCAAAGAAGATATACAAATGGCTTATAAGCACAAGAAAGATGCTTTCTTTCTTTTTTCTAACATAACTGGTCATTAGGGAAATACAAATCAAAACCACAAGGAGACACCACTCTACAAAAGCCAGACAAAAACAAGTGCTGGGAAGATGTGGACACTGCTGGTGGCAGTGTAAAATGGTACAGCCGCTTTGGAGAACGGTCTGGCAGTTCCACAAGAAGTTAAACACAGAGGTACCATAGGACCCACCCAGCAATTCCACTCTTAGGTACACACCCAAGAGAAATGTAACATATGTCCACACAAACTTGTACACAAACGTTCAGAGCAGCATTATTCATAATAGCCAAAAAGTGGAAACCACCCAAACACACATCAACTGATGCTGGCTATAAACAAATGTGGTCTGTCCATACAGAATGATTCAGCCATGAAAAGGAATGAAGTATTGATTCACACTATAAAACAAATGAACCTTGAAAACATGACGCTAAGTGAAAGAAGCCAGACACAAAAGGCCACATATATTATTCCTTTTAAATGAGATGACCAGAATAAGAAAATCCATACAGACAGAAAGTACATTAGTGGCTGCAAGGGGTGGCAGGGAGGAGTGGGGAGTGACTGCTACTGGGTATGGGGTTTCCCACATGGCCTGCAGGCTGTCGTCAGCACCTGAGGGCTGGGCTGCGAGGACCCTACGATCAGCTGTAATGCCCCGCCCTAACTGGAGGACACTTTAAAACTCAGAGAAGCAGCTTCAACCCCATGTGGAAGCTCTGAATCAGGGGCCTTCAAGACATCAAGAACTAGGGGTAGTTCACTAAGCCAGGTCCGGCCTGTCTTTCTTCTTTGCTAAAGGCCATCTGCTCCAAAGATGAACCCAATGGCTCCACAAACCTGTGGCATCTCTCTCCCCGGGCCCAGCACCTAAACTCTACATGGCAGTCGCTTCTTCCAAAGCAACAGCATGCGCCTGATGCACCAGTGATTGCGGACTCCTTCCTCTCTGCCTTGCAGGATGATTGGACCTTTTCTTTTCACCAGCGAGCTGACTGCAGAGCTTGCTTCAGACTTTAGCTGAGACACAACGAGAACTACAGAGCTAGGAGGAACTCAGAGATAACATCTAACCTTTAGCCCAAAGAAGCTGAATTAGTTGCTTATGGTCAAACAAGACTGAAAAGATTAGGAAAGTGGTGAAATCTAGAACCCAGGCCTCTTACCTTTCAGTGCATCTTTTAGAGAAACAAAACATTTATTTTAGAAGGAATTTTAGACATTACCTAGCACATTCTCTTCATCTGAATAAACAGCCCAATGGAATAATATTCTCCATCAATATACCATGATGTCACTTCTATTTAAGTAATGTTTATACTCCAGTTAGGACGTGAAAAATGCCACAAGTCTGTACCCAGGAATGAAAAAAAACCTGAGGTTATTCAAACAAGAGATGCTTTGTCACATGGGCTGTGGTGCAACACAAACCCAGATCCAACAGAGACCCAGCGGTGTGGCGAGTACTCACAGGGTCGGTGAGCATGGTTCTCAGGTGGGACGACAGGGCAAGCACAGCCAGGCAGTTGAAAATGATCCCATTGACCACAGAGTACCAGAAGTCTTTGGAGGGGAGCAGCATGACGAATGTCACCACAAAGTCTGCATAGACGACCAGAAGCCACGTCATGACAGCGCAGATCATGCCACAGCCATCGCGGATGAACCAGACCCTGTCTGCCACATCAGCCTCAGAGGAGGAGGATGACGATGAAGAGTCATAATTGTCATTTTCGGTCAGGAGAGGATGATGCTCGACGTCCCGGAGCCTGTGTCCTGATGGCTGCATGATTTCCCTGACGCGCCCTAGAGAGGGGTTGACACAGCGCTGGTGAGGCTCACGGGAACACAAGCACACACTCATACCCATGCACGCACACATACACACATGCGCGCGCACGCTCGTACACACTACCCGTCCATGTTTTAGGTCTGCCCTTGGCCATTTTACAAAGTTAGTTTAAATACACCTAGCAGGAAATAAAATAAAAATCTAACTAGTTAAGATCTAAATTTTTAAAACTTCTATCTTAACATACCACTGTCTACAACAAAATGAATCCCACAGTTTAGGTTATACCTATATATATGCAAAATTGTCACCTACAGTTAGCCATAGTCACATACAAACAAAAATAATGAAAAGGACAGGCCATATGCAAAATCACAGCACCCTAGTCCCCTGCACAGCAGAGGAACCCTGTCGCCCACTGCTGTATCCACTCCAAGCACCTGCAGCCCACCATCTGTGCTCCTTTCAGCAGGTCACCTCCAGCACGCCTGAGCAGACACTCCGTACAGGTGGCAGCAAACGGCATGGTATAAGCCTGGTAACGAAGTGGGTGGCTCTCCACTCACTTTTATACTGGCTCGTGAACACTGAGCTCACGTTTCTTACCTGGCTTTTCTCGATGTGATGCTCAGTTTACCCCCGTTTCTCCACTGTTGTAACTCAGATAACACACATCTCATCTCCATATTACTCGACTCTATGCCCCATTTCTACAATGCACTTCGTCTCTACTTTGATCTTTTTAAGTTTCCTTCATTAGTAATACATTCGTTTTTAAACTGTTCTATTGACACCTCTCCTCTGTTTCATATAACATCTGATTTCCAAGAATACACAGAGTCCAAAGAAACTAAAATCAAAATTGCTCTTTCGTAGTGACTATTTTGACTGCTGCTTTAAACGTCTGGCCTTCTTTTATCGGTGTCTGATGTGTGTAGACACCATATTCCTGACAAAGAGCAGGAAGAGAAGGGTCAGAGCTGATTTTATCTTCGCTTCTTACAGGGGAGAGAAAACACTGACAAGCATTTCAACAAATTGACCAAGCAACTTCTCAGAGCAGGAGCTCTGCCTGCCTTTGAACAGGTGGCGCATAGGACTGCGGCTTCTGGGGTGTGAAACGGAGGGGGCAGCAGGAACTCTCTTGGATTTCAGGTTTGCTACAGCTGATTGACAGCAGATTTTCAAATCTGGGTGTGCCTTTTTATTCCTAAATGCAACTAGAACACAGCGATCAGGAAAATGTTTAACTTGCTGATGAGAGTTCATACTCCAAAGACTTTGCAGAATTCCTTGGCCACATAAAAGGTAATGACTGGTATGAAAGAAAACTAAAACTGTTCTCCCAAGTCAGTAAAATAGCCCTACTCTTGAATTACACAAAAATATTTTTAAGTGAAATAGCTCAAAAAATTTTTAAGTGATAGAGAAGAAACTAAAGATCAAAAGAATTTGGATAGACCTTAACCAGCCATTCTTTCAGCTAGCATCTCTAAACTCTACATCTTTCAGATTTGTCTGCTCACTGTCCCCTGTAAACCCCCTTTGTGAAGTCTAGCCCCTCTTCATTAACCCCACTCACTCTACACAGTCTAATTTTTCTCTCTTCCAGGCAAGCCACCCTGAAAAGAGGTTTCCTCTTCCTCTGAGGAGCACTTTGAAAAGTGGTCACTACACATCAGCATGACCATCTGTAGATGAAGGCTGAAACTGCTCTGCCTACACCCCTAGTATAGCCTGAAGCTGTCAGGGGGCTGAGAAAGTCTCTGCAAGTTTCTCTGCCTCCCCTGGATTCCCAGGCACATGCACTGGCTCTACTTCCAGGGTACTTTCCACTTCCCAGCTCAAAGAGCCTCTGCACGTCTCCCTGCCCTGCCTGACATCTGCCCCTCCTAGGGGGGTCTGTGTCTCCTCTGCCTGGGTTCCCGTCCGTGCCTCAACACTGCCTGGCACACAGCAAGAGCATGTTGGTTTAAAGGCATATGCAACAAAAAGAAGGTGGTCCCTTTCTCAGATTCAAATAGTCTCCTAGGAAATCATCGTGTCAAAGGGAAACCTGCACGCCCATGTTCATCTCAGCTCTGTTTACAATAGCCAAGACATGGAACCAACCTAAATGTCCATCAATGGATGACCAGATAAGGAAACTGTGGTACATATACACTATGGAATGCTACTCTGCCATAAAAAAAGAACAAAATACTTCTATTTGCAGCAACGTGGATGAGCCTGGAGAAACTTATGTTGAGTGAAATAAGCAAAGCACAGAGGAATAAATACTGCATGTGCTCACTCACGTGGGAGCTAAGAGAGAAAGAAGGAAGGAAAGAAAGACCACAGTAGTGCATTGGATTTGCAGAGGTAGAGAACATTCCTTAGGCTACAAAGTGGAGTGGGGAAGAAAGAGGGAGGAGGGGAGGTTAGGGATAATTGGGTGGGGGACACGAGGTACAAATGCAATTTGTGGTAATGGGTATGCTGCCAGTATGAATCTGGCCCCTACATCATGGGCATGAGGGGTGACAATCAGCTTTGCATCTCATGAATATTCATAACCAATAAAAAATTAATTAAAATTAAAATTAAAACAAAAAACAAACACCAAATAGTCTCCTAGGGATTCCATACAAGTTCCTTAGTGAATCACGACCTTATATAAAGGCCTTAAGCTGAAAAATCCTGACCAGAACCACTTGCTTTATGGTCACTTCTCAAGTAGGATGCGCTCCATGAGGAAGGGGACTGCTTACTAGGCAGTAAGACAATAAGCTACTTCTGTCATAGCACAATGTCTGTGCAGTCTGAATTCCTTCCAGAAAGCAGGACCCCACGGGTCTTCTAAAGGCGCACAGGCCGACCCCTGAGCCAGGTCAGCTCAGCTTCCTGGCCCAGGGCCTGGTAAGAATTGACACAACAGCAGGATGTGGCCTCTGGGGTGCGCCTTCCCTGGGAGCAGCTGCGCATGAGCACACCAAACACTGGATGTGGGAGGACATTCCTTAGAAGTGCAAACTAGATGGTGCTGTGACACACAGTGTTTGAAGGCTTTGGCGCCAAATCTGTAAAATCCACTAGAAGTTAACAGGAAAATAATCTTGAGATCCAAAAATCACTTTATTTTCAAGAAAGCAGTCTATGAACATAGCAAAGCGCGGCCAGACAAATTCAGCTCTGCAATAAAGTGCACGCGCGCTCGCTGAGTCACTGTGCTTACACTTCATCAACTCAGCAGGAAGGGTGGGGAGGAAATGAAGAAACCATTCCTTTACATGAACCTAATCTAAAATGATTGGGAACATGAGAACAAACAGCACAGCAATTTGATATGCAGTAACAAAATGCACACACTCAGGAGCAATCAGGGCGCAGGCTTACTCTACACGAAATACCAAAATCACGATCGATTTTGTACTCTTGAAGCCCATTTCCGAGAGAACCCTGAAGGGACTGTGCACTGACTGAGAGTAAATGGATTTCGCATCATCATTTTTCTACTTTAATGGCCAATTTTAATAGGATTTTTCCTACACTGCTGAACCTAAGCTCTTTATCATGTTAAATAAAGTCATTTCCTAGAACTCTGAAAGCAACACTATGGCTCTCCACTAGTGAAGGGGCAACCTCAGTGAAGAGCAAAACTCTCTATTTTATTTGCACTTGAAGATTCTCCTCATCTTCCAGTACTGGCCAATAACTTATCATTCAATTCATGGACTCCTCCTCCAAAGACACACTCTCCTTTTAGCACAGGCGGTAAGCAAACCTCAGACAACAGGTGAAAAGAAACCTTCACCTGTCACCGTTAGCCTCTGCGCTGCTTCTGTTTCACCACGCGCAGAGTAACACTCAAGTATTTCAGTAACACGTAAGTGCCTGCTGTCACACAGGAAGTAGTAATCACACACCTCCATATTCACACCCTTACCTCACAAACTACTTCTGAACATCACTTGAACACTTGCAGAGTAACACTCAAGTATTTCAGTAACACGTAAGTGCCTGCTGTCACACAGGAAGTAGTATTCACACACCTCCATATTCACACCCTTACCTCACAAACTACTTCTGAACATCACTTGAACACTCTGCGCCTTTTCTTCAGGATCTTAAGGTGCATGCTGTCCTATGTGATGGGATCTGAAAGACAATAAAACCTGATTAGAAAAGTTATTTATTTTCTGACAGAAAAGTGTGCAATATTTATTGGGGTATGATTGATTTGGGGAACATATATACACAACGTAAGATTTTACACATAAAATGCTGTCATTCAGAACCATCCATAACTATGAAATCATTGTTCTTCTATGTTTTGATTACTAGTAATTGATAGACAGTCCTGGAAATTAAGTAATTTATTTTATATCTGTCCACTTTACCCTCCTGCTCTGTTAGTCCCAGTGTTAAATACAAATCTCTAAGCCAAAATCTCTCAAGAAAGATCCCCAGGGATAATCTAGACCAAATCTGGATAGCTGCATTTCAACCATCAACAAACTTTTTTTACCAGCCACATTAAAGGAATTATAGAAAATGGGAGGAGTGAGCCTGAGAGGCGAGATGTGTGGGACTAGATGGGACTGGATGAGATGGGACATCAGACTCCGCTGTGGGAGGGAGCCAGGCCCATGAAGGAGAATGCTGGAACTGAGTGGTAACACTACTGAGAGAGCAAACTCCCTGCACTAATCTCCCACGTGCCTCCCAGAACTCTACCAGGTGGGAGCGTGGAAGAATCCTCTTTAGAAGCACTCATCTGGCTCAAGAGCAAAGGTCTAAAGGTCCCAAGATGTGGGGCAATCCCAACAAAAGGTCAGATTCACTGGAACCAGGGGACACCCTACCCATAGACAGAAAGGCTCCAAGTGCTTGTCATAGCTCAGTCCTAAAAATGAAGAAAACCTGAAATGTCTCACGAAAGAGAGCCCAAAAAAGAAACAGGGAAGAAAGGAATTCAGAACAGGCACAATGCACAGAGAAGAAAACGTCAACAAAGCACAACCTTAATTAACATCCTTAGCAATGAGAAGCGACTGTGTCTGTCAAACAAAAAGAGGACCATTTTGAGAACTTCCTGGTTATTGAAAATAAAAATACGACGGTAGAATTTTAAAATTTTAAAAATAGGATTGGATAAGAGAGTGAGGAAATCTCTCAGAAAGGAGAACTAAAGGACAAAGCCCTTAGGAGTGAATATAAAACAAAATTAGAGGCTCGACCCAGGGGCCTACCTTCCACACACAACGGAGGTCTAGCACAGGCCTCCAGAAGGAAAAGGCATGCACATCGGGCCTCTTGGTGCTGGAACTCTGGCTTCAGTTCTGGCTGCCTGGGGCCTGTCAGGCCTCCATTCCGTTTTTACCCAGTATCCTTCCAGAAGAGTGTTTTTCTGCTTAAGTTCCTGTCTGTTGTTTGAAATCAAGAACTCTGACTAGTACACCAGGAGGCTGGAGTGGAAAAGGGTGAAGGGGTAAGGGGGCCAGGGAAGAATCAAGAGGTGGGAAGGGGTAAATTTCCCGTTTCTGCCATCCAGCATGTTCCTCCCAATACCTCAGAGACTGTGCACTGTTTCCTGCCTCAAGTGTGCCACACCTGCATCAGAGCCAGGAGCTGCTTTCAGCCTGTGCCCCTGTCCACTGCAAGACTCCCTGGAGGCTATCCTCTCTCAGCATTTACTAGGCAACCTTCTGTCCCAGGCCTTTGAATACCTACACACCAATGGCTCCAGCTGAGTCCCTTCTGAGCTTTTAATACAAATGTGGCCATGAATCCTGCTTACACTAATGGAGGTGATTTTTTAAATACAGTATTTATATATAGTAATTTTATTCAAATGTCTATGCAATAGCCACCAACTTTAAAAGCTTAATAATATTTTGAACTGTTTTCCAATGAGCTTATCTAGCAATGTTTTAAAACATAAAACTATAGGACTTCCAATTGCAGGCATCAGATCAACAGAATTTCTACAATGAGACCAAATCCCCAATTATTTCTATAAATTAAAAAATTAACCAACACAATCATCACTTTGGAAAACAATCTGGCACTCTCTCAAAGGTGAACGAACACCTAGGCTATGACTCCAGTTTTTACCCAAGAAAAATGCGTATGAATATGAACACAAAGCTTGTACAAAACTGTTCCTCACAGATTTGTTCAGAATATCCTCCACTGGGGGCCGACCCCGTGGTGCACTCAGGAGAGTGCGGCGCTGGGAGCGCAGCGGTGCTCCCGCCCGTCCTAACCCCCAGTACCTCAGAATGTGACCTTACGTGGAAGTAGGACTATTATAGATGTAATTAGTTAAGATGAAGTCATACTAGAGTAAGATGGATACTTAATCCAATATGACTGGTATCCTCCAAAGAAGAAAATGGGAAAACACACAGAGAGATATCATGTGACAACAGATATCCTCCAAAGAAGACAATAGGAAATCACATAGAGAGAATATCATGTGACAACAGAGGCAGAGATTGGAGGGACATGTCTACAAGCCAAGGAACACCAAAGATTGACAGCTACCACTAGAAACTAGGAAGAGGCCAGGAAGAATTCTGCCTGGAGTCTCAGAGGGAACAAAGCCATGTCAACACCTTCATTTATGACTCTAGCCTCTAGAACTGTGAGGGAATAAGTTTCTTTTGCTTTAAGTTTGTGGTACTTTATTATGGTATCTCTAGCAAACTATTATAGCCAATGAATAGATAAATAAAAGTTGGAGTGGTATATCCATACAGTGTAATACTGTTCCTCAGTAAAAAGGAAGAAATTACTGGTACATGCTACAACATGGATGAGTCTCAAAAATATGCCAAGTGAAAGAAGCCAGACAGAATAGTATGGTGTGATTCCACCTGTATGACGCTCTAAACCAGGCAAACCAATTTATTTCGAAAGAAATTAGGTTAGAGGTTTGAGCACAAGGGGTGAATGACGGGGAACAGACCATGGAATGTTCTGAGTGGGTGTACATGTCCACATCTTGATAAGGAAACCCGCTACACAGGCCCATGTGTTTGTCAAAACAAAACTCAATGAGCAGTTTAAAAAAAAACAAAAACACCTCAATGAACTACATACGTAAAACTCTGCATTTCATTGTACATCAGTCATGCTTCAATAAAACAAAGTAGGAGGAAAAAACACCCAGCACAAGTACAAGTTGCAGGTGCAGAAGTAAAAGGGTGCAGCCAAGGCCAAGTCCTGGCCACGCTAGAACAGCTTTCTTCCTGTATGAACTGTACACATGAGTCAAGGCCCTGTCTGAGATTTACTTTTGTCTGTAACTTCATGCAAGTTTCTTAAGCTTTTCCCCTGACTTTTTTTCTTGACTACAAACAGAAAATATATTTTTCATAGACACAGTGAAAAAAAACAAAAGATGTCAGTATCTTTGGTGATCAGCTACTACAAAAAAAGAATCAAGGTATAATTATTTTTACTCCTGCAATACTAGGAGTATCTACCCAAGAATCTGATATTCATACTTAGTTAAAATGCAGTTTAAACTGGTCATTGCTTTACTATTTGTACACCCACTGATGACCCATAAAAAACAGAAATAAGCAAATCTTTGTTTCAGGCACAGAAGTGTATGAAGCAAATGCAAACCCTGCTGCAAGAGATTGATTTCATTCAAACAAGGGGGTGGGTGTCCAAGCACCACACTCTGTAAAGGGTCCCAGGCATGTGCAGCCCAAGGCATGAGCTTCAGCCAAAGGAGCTCACAAACCAGCAAAGTGGGAATCAGCCTTGTAAATAATGTGCTGAGTGCTGTCCCCAAATCAGGAGCAAAGTGTGATAAGGGAGAGAGATGACAACAGCTAATTCTGTCTGGAGGAACCAGAGCAAGTGTCGATAAAGACAGCAAAAGCGGACCCTGACAGACAAGCAAGCTGCGGCCAGGAAGAGAGGACAATATGAGATGGTGCACAGAGGTGGAGAGGGAATACAGTATGCAAAGGGAAAATATGACCAGAAGGACAAGATTGAGGTCCACTAGAAAAGTACTGTAAATGCCACGCTAAGGGGTGTGAGATTCTGGATTTCGTTCTGCTAGAATGGGAGGCATCAGAACTTTGGCGAATGGACAGATATTTTACAAACACAACTGGCAACAAAGTGAGACAAGGCTGGCAGCAGGAAGACTAGCGCAGGATGCTACTGACTCTTACTTACCACATAAAGCCAAGGGCTGGGAGGGTAGCACGGTGTAGTGGACTGAAATATGTCCTCCCAAAACTCACTGAAGCTTCAATTGCCTGAGTTTATATATTAGAATCTTAGCCCCACTGTGACTGTGAAGACTGTGGGAAATCCTGTTATGGCAATTGAAAGGTGGAGCCTTAAATAGGTGATTGGATTGTAGGACCGTGCCATAGTGAATGGATTAGAAATGGTGGTGAATGGCGTGGTTCTGAGGACTTTAATAGAAGAGGAGAGTCTGTCCCTCTCTGCTCTCTCTGCTTCCACCATCTTGCAATGTGAGACCCCTGGGTCACTGTCACCACCACCAGATGGACTTCGGACTTCCCAGCCTCAGAAACTGTAAGCAATAAATGTCATTTTTCTTTATAAATCACCCAGTTTCAGGTATTTTGTTATAAGCAACATAAACAAACTAATACACAGGGCCTGTCTGGGGATCTCTGAGAGACAGGGACAGGAAGAACAACAGTACAATGACCAACAGGATGGGACGGAAGGGAGCACAATGACAGCAGAGTAAAAGGGACAACACTCCTCTGGAACAGGGGAGCCGCAGACTCAGGCAGAGTGCTAAGACCAGGGCCCAGCGAATTTAAGGTGCCTGCAGGATACAGGGAGTTAAGGGAAGTACAAGGAAAGGAGAGACCAGTTGGGAGGGCTGGAGCAGTCAAGCACCCCCAGTGAAGCACCAGGAAAGGCCATTGGAGCATCAGGGACATCTCCCAGCAGTCTCAG